ACTTTCCCAAATTATTTCGAAAAATGAAATTACCTGATCAAATCTGCCCCCCCACTCCCCACTCCCCTACTATACTTACCGGTCGGTGAACAGTCCCACCCCTTTGCTGGTATCTGTCGTCCAGTGCAGCCCTGAGCTGTGGAGTTTGAATTTCGCTTGCAAATTTCGAGCACTCATCTGTCAGCGTGGTCACCTGACCATGCTGACTAATGAGAAGAGCTTCTTAGCACAGTTAAAGTGACATTAAAGCCAAAAAAAAATTCCCCTTCCCCCCATGTAAATGTTAGCACTTACCTCAAATGATGTCTCTTATTCTGATCTTCCTCTTCTTTCCCCATGTTTTCATGTGTCCCTCCAGCGGTGTGACGTCACTCCGATCCAGCGCTGACTGCTCTGTCTCTCCGATCCAGCGGTGTCTGCAGGCGGGTGCACGCGTCCATAGACTTACCTTGCGTCTCTGCTCGTCTCCCGGCTGAGAATCGGAACTGCGCATGCGCCCGCCCCAAGATCCTTTGCGGCCGTACGATCACTTCCTGATTCTCGGCACGGGATCGAGCAGCGATTACGAGGTAAGTTTAAAACCAGTTCAAGTGGGTTTTTTTAAACTTCTTGCCTATATCTACTGCATGCTAGCAGTAGATATAGGCAAAAAAACGGAGGGTTTAGAACCCCTTTAAATACGGTTTTGGTTAAAATTATTTTTCGTATCATGACAAGTTTCATGAGGAATAAGTTGATTGGGCTCCTGCTTTAAATTTCCACACCCCTGCTAAAGCTAGCAATGTTTGAAAGAGTCCGCTAAAACCTGGAACTGTTGGAAAGCAAACAGTGTATACTTAGCGGTTCTACTGTCCACACCACTGAACTCCGCTGCACTGAAAAGAGAAGCTTACTATAAGATCCTATACATTTGACACTTCTGGTAGCGTTGGATCCCTGGTTCCATCCGTGGGCTCCTACGGGTTACAGCAGTGACATAGGGGCCAGTGAAAAAGTATGATAAACAGGCGAGAACAGTATGAGGGAAATTTATAAAAACTGGAGGAGACAGAATCAGGAGCAGCTGTCCATGACATCAGATTCTATCTTTCATTTTCAAAGCTTTACTGAATAAACTGTAGAGTTGGTTACCATTGGCAATTGCTCCAAATTGTGTCTGCTCAAGTTTTGATAAATTCCCCTCACAGTGCTTTAACTAAATATCATCTCATTTAGGTTTAGATTTACTTGAACTGTAGGCAGGTTTTCTGCATCTTGTGCAAAAATTCTACTCATAGCACAATCTCAGTTATCACTTTCTTGAATGTTCCAGTCTCTTGGGTAAAATGTATATTTTATCTGGAGGTCCACTTTAAACAAGGATCATTCTTGGGTTCAGTGGAAGAAAAGGGTGCCTTGTGTAATGTGATCTCAGCTAACTCTGGTCCTTATTGACATTGAAAATCAATTTTCTCTGAACATTTTTCAGATAATTGGATTATTCTGCTTACAAGGTGGAAAAACTTATCTGGGGTCAAATATGACCATAATATGCCTATCAATAAACCACCAAGGACATCACTGAGATTTCCATGCTAGTTCTTTGTATTAGTGCAGGAAGACATGGGAGGCAGAGGTGACAATATTGATTAACCCATTACCATGACCGATTAAGTGTCATCAGTTCCATTTAAGATAAAATATGACTTAAAGGAGACCAAGCATCACATATAAATCAGGGTTTTTTTAATGTTAAAGCAGCCTTTTACCCATACCTTTAAAATGACAAAAACACACACCTTAAGAAATGTTAGTAATTACAATCTACAAACACATACTTCTAGATAATTGCCGGCTTTGTATTCTTTGCATTCCTTATTTCTCTTCTCTTCCACCGTCTTCTGAAAGTAGCCATGTTTACTAAGGGCAGATTATTAGCTCTTCTATTACTTCCTGGATTTCTGGCACATGTGACTAGACAGGTGACTAGGAGATGTGACCAAGCACATCAACTCAGGGGAGGAAATGCCTTTCTCTGAGATCTCGTGAGATTACAGTTGAGGTTTCTAAGCAACGCACTGCTGATGACACGCCAATCCCAGAGTTCATTGCTTAGGCACTCTGATGTAATTTGCACTTTCCAAGCAGGAAGTGAATGCTCTGCAAGTATTTCATAATCTCAGCATTTTACACCTGACATGCCTATTTTATTTTTTTTAGTGCATGTGTGCTACATGCTAAATTACATGTAACTTTAAAGAAGAACGCTTAGGGCAAAATGTTTAATAGCCCTTGCAGTGTGGCTACCCCTGCACTGCAAGGGTTAAATGCTGGTTTTATGTCTAGGGTGAAAAATTAAAAAAAGTTGTACTCACCCTATCCTCGGAACCGGCCAGCTGTCAAAATGCTTCCTCCAGCCTGTCTCCTCTGCTGCAGCAATGGTGTGTACCTCTGCGTCCTCACATTCAATACACAGTGTATAGAACGTAATGACTCGAGGATCCATAGACCGCTGCAGTGGAGGGGGAGCGAGGCTGGAAGTCCTGATCTAAGAGCAAGCCGGCTCTGACAGTCAGGTGATCATAAATGTTGTATTCCCACACCTAGACAAAAATGAGCAGTTAACCCTTGGAGTGTGGGGGCAGCCCCACTGAAAGGGTTAATAAAAGATTTGTCTGGCCTTCTTCTGTAACCCTTCCAAGTATTTGCTACCTCTTACAGAGATCATAGTTCTCCCCCTGACGGTGATCCATGTGCAATCTTTGTTCAGCCATCATTCAGGTTAGCCATCTATTTCCTAGATTGACAAGCTTGCTTAGAGATGAAAAAGCATGTAAATTGTGGTGCATGTGTAGTTCTTGCATTCATAAATATCTGATGCAGATCAGCCCCTGACGTCAGACTCTCACCTTGTGAGTTACATATACAGTCTGATCAGTGCTCCCTCTGCCCACAGCAAACTGATGATATCATAGCAATCAAAGCAAAGTCACCTGCCTAGAGCACAATGATGGGTTTTCAGTGATACTGTTGATGAATATGGTGAAGTCGTAGATTAATACATACAGACTTTTAAAGTTACTGAAAGGTCCACTTTAAGTGTTCTCATGAGATCATATCTCCTTTTGACAGGTACTTATATAGTGCATAGATGTACACAGCAATATGTACATATCGTACATTCAGGGCCAGATTTCCCACAAGGCCACCGAGCCCCGGCCTTGGGCAGCAGGGATTAGAGGGGCAGCAGGGGTGCGGAATTCCTATCACCCAAAGCCTGGGACATGCAGTTCTGGGAGCTGGGCCGGCTGTTTTTTCTACATTTAGCCCTGCTTTGGGCAAGCAGGGCTAAATGTACAGTGGGGAAGGCGCCACTTGTTTTGTACAAGTGATCCCGGAGATGTCGCCAAGATCACTTGTATGCAGCCTGTCAGGTCTGTTTAAATACAAATTTTAAAAAGTAAAAAATATTAATACAAATAAAAAAGTGATAAAGTTAAAAAAATAGACAACATTTTTTTAAAATGAAACCAACCCTGCTGCCCCCACCATCTGGTTGCCATTCTCCATTGGGAGAGGGGAGGTGTTGGCGGGGAGGGGGGTGCATTGAGGAATCTGGCCTTGGGGAGTAGAGAGGGTAAATCCGGCTCTGCGTACATTCACACAAGTCCCTGCCCTCAAGGAGCTTATAATCTAAGGTCCCTATCTCACAAGCATACATACACATACTACCTAGACAGGAGCCAATTATCCTATCAGCATGTCTGTGGAGTGTGGGAGGAAACTAATGCAAGCATGTGCAAATTCTATGTAGGTAGTGTCCTGGTTGGGATTACTTTCTTTGTCTGGAAATTATATTACTGTGGCACTTAGCCCAAATTGTAATTCCAGATATGGATATATGCTTTTTTTGGCCAAATCAACTCTGGCTCATTTTCTGTCACTATCAATATCTGTTCAGAAAAGACAGTGCCCCCCCTCAAATATAGTGCTATGACATTGAGCTGTATCGCACCAGTGCACCCTGCCTTCTTTTGTCAGTAATCTGGTGATCCTGGAACACACCTGCTGGTGATGCTGAAACAACTTCTTTGTTGCTTTTCACACACAGAAAGTCTGATATCAAAACTGCCAGTACTGCAATGTTTCTCACAACAGCCATCAAACCTGCCTAGAAAGTTTTAATTGGTGGTGCAGGCAGGGCCGGTGCTGCCACTAGGCAAATTAGGCAGCCGCCTAGGGCACACTGCTGCCTAGGGTATAGCCTAATGGCTTGCAATCACTAAATTTTGGGGTTTAATAAGGAGTTGCGCTAATATTGCGCAACATAAAAATTTTCAACTACCACCATTTTATTCTATAGGGTCTTGGCATTCAGAAAATATATAATGTTGGGGGGTTTTACGTCATTTTCAGGCCTAAAATGTGGAATATAACATGGGTGCAAAAAATTAAAAAAGGGCCTCAGTCATGAAGGGGTTAAAATAGCCAATAGCAGTCTGGCTATTGCTCCCGGCTGCTTACACCCACCTGTCACCTGCAGAAGCTAGCCCGCAGTAGAATGGAGCCGCGCGGGGGGAGGGATTAAGGGTTGCGCCGTGGCAGGGGAGCTGGGGGATGCAAGTAGCTGGTCTTGCCTAGGGCGCAAAATAGTCTAGCACCGGCCCTGGGTGCAGGAAGCAGTGAGTGAAAATAGATTGCAAAGCCTAACATAGGAAGTACACTCCTACTGCCCTTCTTTCTAATCCTGAAAATAGATAGGTGTATTTGTTTTGTATGACAGGCGACCTAAACCTTTTCCCATTCTGTCTACAACCAAAAAAAGTTTTAGCTGGAGTTACACTTTACAATTAACAAGAACACCGGCTGACTTGGCAGATCATGTAACTAAGCACAAGTGACCAGTATCTAATTAGACATCATCAGCACATGCAGTTATTTTCTTGCTCCAGCATTCTGCGCGACATAATTATTTTAATAATGTAGCCATATAGTTTATCCTAAAGAAATATCAGACTCACTTCAGTAGTCTCATACCCGCTGTCGCTCCCAGTAACACAGTGGTCTCCTTGTGTACTTCTGAGGGGATAATAGACAGAGCCTCATCCATACAGTACTTCAACACCTCTCCGGCCTGGACTGCATTGTCAGCATATGCAGAAAGCCCCGAGCCTGGTGAAAGAACACAATGCATTGATGTTAAAATGGTTTGTAATACAACACAAAAAAGAGAACCTGTCTTCCACGCACTGTGGTGGAAGTTATTTTGGTAGCTCTAACAGTCTTTAACAGATTGCAGCTTATCAGTTTAGTAGAAGTTTGTAAAACTTATCAGTAACATATTACAAAAGATATACTGTAGATGGCATGTGGAATTAGGGCTTTCGAGTAAGGAAAGGACACTTCTCCAGCGGCGTCATCAGGCTGGGAAACACCCGGTGCGGCCACCGGGTGTCACCCCGTGGGCGCATCATTACATAAACATGTGACGTCCTTACACACACGTGTAATGACATCACGTACACTTCACCGCCAGCAGCCATCGTGATGGACGCCGGCAAAGAGAGGAGGGGACATTCATCTGTCGGGATAAGATAAACGTGTTACCCCCTGTGATGGTGTCACCCGGTACAGGCCGCACCCCCCTCCCCCCGCATATCCCTTGTGCACTTCTCAGAGTACAAATCATTTTTCCAGGGAGGGGCAGATTAGAAATGTATGCAGACTGTGCTGATGCACTAAGGCCCTTTTGAACATAGGTGCCCATTTATACAAGATGTTTGTTGGGCAGCAAGTCCACTTCCCTCACTCTTTGTCTGGCTGGCAACTTTCATTCCTCTTGACACTATTTGGATTGGAAGTAAAGGAGATGTTTACTGTTTGACTTCAGTTGCAAATTATAGCCCTGAAAGAGTTCTGGATACTGCAAAGGCTACTCTTCATTTGCATCTATCTATTAGGGAGGCACAGATACCATTTTTTCCAGACCGAGTACGAGTACCAATACTTTTTCTCAACCACTCGCCGATACCAATTGCCGATACCTATTATCATGTGACCGTTTTGTGAAAAGCATGTGAAAAGCACTCACCTCATAGTTCTCCTTTAACTATAGAAGACTGCAAATCTCAGCAATACATTATACTAGGGATGCACTACTACTCGCCCAAGTGCTCCAATACTTATCCCAATACCGGAACTTCTGGTCAGAGGGAGATTTCCTTTGACCGGCAGTGCTGTGAGGGAACATGGAGCCGGCTTCCTGGCCAATCAGTCACGGGTAATGACCCGCTTTTTTTTTGCCGTGGAGTCCCCCCTAAAATTCCTACTTTCTGACCCAAATGCCAATAAAGAAATAACGAAAAATCCAAACCGCAACAAATTTTTTTGTTGCACAATGCACATGTCTAGTTGTGATAGAATGAGACGTCAAATATGTGACCAGTCGTTCCCTTATAGCTGCAAATGGCGCCATTACTTTTCCGTACGCCGTCACACACACACCTGAACTGCATATCCGTGCTGGTCCGGGTGTCCACGCTTGGACGCAGACAGGATGCATCTCCACCACTGTGTACGCCCCGTGGAATGAAGCCTTACAGTGCAGTTACCTGCACTGATCATATATAATTGCCACATATTTTATAAAATCTGGTAATGATTGTGTCTTATCAGTGAACATTGCAGCTATCCGTGTCATATTTACAGCCGGCAGAACTATGACCAGGAATAGAATGTATGTAAACAGAATAGAGGGAATCCGGGGGATAACTCCTAAGTGTAGGTAGTGACGGCCTCTGCTGCATGCCCAGGGCACTTATCTCATACGCAGGAGGTTTACAGAAGGCCTGGCAGCCATCCCGATTTAGCCTGCCCTGTCAATATTTGCCTTTCCCAGACCTTTAAACATTATTGATTAACAGTGTTGATCTGGCACAGTTATCAGAGGAAAGCTTTAGGCATACTTTCATCAAGAAATGAAAGTTGATGAAAGAGAAACTATAGCTCTGCAATCAGTAAGGCTCACGTTCCCTGCTATTTAGAGCTCTGACTCTGCAGAGGGGTGTCAGACCTCTACAGAGAAACCACTGCTTCCACACAGAGAGTGAGGGTTCTTCTCTGCAGCAAGCTGGCAGAGGGCAGGCTTTTCTACTCAGGCTGATTTCTAAAGAAAGTGAACTCTAAGAAGGGGTTCATGTTTTTGCATTGCCCCATAATGCACATGGTAATGTGTTACTTGCAATGCTGCACTGCGGAAGAATTCCATTTGAATGGGATCCTAATGTGCTAAAGCAGGGGTCAGCAACCTTTTACACACCGAGTGCCATTTTTGCAACCATCAGACAACCGAGTGCCATTGAACAATAGTGCACCATGGTATTAGCAAATTTCAGTTTTTGTACTCATAGTTGTACTGCTAATAATAAGTTAAACTCACTAATTATTTGAATGTGTTTATCTTGCCGTTAGCAGCACAACTGTAAGTGAAAACATTTTATAACTATTGCACACACAAAATATATTTACATGTACTAAAAAAGTAAACTGGACTTACAGTTTTAGTGTGATCCCTGTTTCTGTATTAAAGCAACAATACTGTGCAAAAGTGCATTGCCATGAGTTGAGTTCCCGAAAAAAAGGGTCCAATGGGGTTTTGGCTCTTCTGCTCTTGCAGAATGAGTTGGCTGTCTTAACACAGTATTTAATGCACATGAAATGTATTTAGCTGATTTCAACTGAAAGTTTAGTTGAGCTTTATCTTTTAAATGTTACCCAAGATCAGTATGAAGATTTGGCAAATGTACAGTACCAGTACAATAGGTAAGAGGCCATCCATCGACTGTGCATAGAAGAAGATTTTACTTCAGGAAGGGATTCTTAACAGTAAGCCCTCATTCACACTAGAATCGGCCGGCACGTACAGCTCCACGCTGCGTGCACGGCCGTATTGGGCAGCTCCTGGGAAGGACAGGTGCTGTGTGTGATTGTCGGCTCGGACGCAGACAGGATACAAGTACGCTCACCCGCACAGACGTGCAGGGCGGGTGAGCGTAGGGCGGCGTATGGCCGCGTCCTCCCATAGAGAAGGACAGGGGCTGCGTACTAATCACACACAGCACCTGTCTTTCCCGGGAGCTGCACAATACGGCCGTGCACAGAGCTGTACATGACGGCCGATTCTAGTGTGCATGAGGGCGAAGAGTGATACAGCTGTGGAAATGTACTGCATGAGGTAGTAATGGCAAAAAATGTATTTTAAAAAAGGATGATTTTCTTGCAGCTAATAATATTCAGAGTTACTGAATGTATTTTAAATCGATCCAAGGATTTTTTTTTTTACCTCCCGTGTGGCAAAATGGTTGCCTGCGAGAAGGGGTAGTTTGTTTAGGGGTAGTTTTAGGCCTTGTCTAGACCAAAACCAAGAATTCTGAGAGGCTTTACTTATTAACTATGACTATAGCAAAAGTCAGTAGGAACAAATTATGACATTATTCTGAGTAAAAAATTAACTTTGTCTCGTTTTAAAAATTCTTCTTTGGAGTTTCTTCTTGTTGCCTAATTCCTATCCTACGTGAACATGGTGTGCACGGCCTGTGCTGAGCGGTGGGCTGAATGAACCTCTCCTATTTGCTCCCTTTGGTCTGTTAAATGTACCATTGCAATTTTTTTGTGATATCTGTTAAGCTGCCCATACACCTGTCAATTATCGTATGATAATCGCGGGTGATCCCACGATCGTACGATAATCGTAAGGTGTATGGGCAGCATGCGACCGCATTTGCTGTGCGGACGTACAATTTACGTATAACGAGCACGCTAGAAAACCCGCCGAAAATCGTAGATAGCGCGATCGCAAGACGAAAGTTGCACGGCCCAAGGTGCGCAAGCGCACACTGCCCGCTCACCATTGCAATCATCTGCAAGCCCTCCCCTCAGCGGGAAGGACTTGCGATGATCGCAAGTACGATCTGCCTCTCCATGATGGGCAGGTCGTACGAACTTTTAATCACATTACAACCATCGCACAACAAAAGACCTACCTAATCTGCTCAGTTTCCATTAGTTATCTCCACTGAGAACACACAGTTAATATTTGCTTCTATAGATATGCAAGGTATATGAACAAACAGATATAAAAGCAGTATCTGACATCTGTTCCATATAGGAAACAGAAACTGACTTTAATAAAGGTCAATACGCCTAGAGAACTCAGGATCAAAAAGGATAAATGCCTCCTATTGCTCTGCTCATCCCAGAAACACACCACACTGCTCACCTAATATCATGCATTGCCCACTGCCTCAATTGCCCACTGCCTATGCTAGCACTGGTGGTTGGCAAACACTAATGAAGAAGCTGTCTGCCTGCAATCCTACAAAGAGACGGAATGTCCATTAGGACCTGTGGCTGACTCTACCTATAACTAAATTATCGCTATGGGTCATGCTGATCCTTTATTTATAGGAAAATAACTCATCATGGGTACCTCTTCAGAAGAAGTTTTATCCTTATAATGAATGACTTGTTAGACTTGTTATCTGCTTATCTCATACAACACATAGATTGGAACATTCCATATGATAGATGAATTCTTTAGGTGACATTATAAAATGTAGCAATGCAGCGGGTTTTGAGATAAATGTTTATTGCTGTTATGGGAAGTGGAAACCCCCGCATGTCATCAAAGGCAATCCAGCACAAGAAGGGTTAAAAAGAAGTCTTTTTTTTATTGAGCTGTTCTCATCCTGATATATAAAGATGTGTTTTATTACAAACAATTAAAAGACTTCCTTTTACCTGCAGTAAACCCTTACTACGCATTCTTACAAATGAATTATGATGGTGGCATCATTGGGGTGACTACAGATATGTCTTCTTGTTGTTGGGCAATTTACATTGCAGCACACAAGCATATGGAGGCTGACATTGCTGGCTTTTCTTTCTGCATATGCTAGGTGCATGGGTGTCATTCTTACCCTCTGGCTTTAATATGCTGAATATGTAGAGCCAGAAGGCTGCAGATAAGGAAGCTAACTTTTCTCTAAAGCTGGCCATACGCTATACAATGTGATTGCACAATCTCTGTACAATCTCCTTTAGATTAGATGGCCACATACCGGGTCCTGTCTGGGTTACAAAGTCGTTCAATATAGAAAGTGAGGGGAAATTTCCAACACAGACATAGCATATTTTTATTATTATTCTAGCATTCTATTATGTATACCGCTGTATACTCCATAAAGAGTCAGTCTCCTGTAGCGATAACTCACCGCAAGGAGCCGCTGTTTGCCTGGTCCACATCTAGTCGGTCTAGGGGTTGATTCCCAGCTGCACCCATTAGCACTAACCGCCCTCTTCTGATGCCCATAAATTGATGTCCACTTGAGTGATATGATGCTAGTTGAACAATTTATTGAACTTCTGATTAGGGAGAGAGGGTATAGGGGTTCTAGGTGTCTAGGGGTAACCACCCTCAGCTCCAGACTCACCGGATCTTGTAACAGTGGGAAAGCATATCCACAATCCAATAAAGAAACACTGACCATGCTCTGGAGTCCACATAGATCCAGGGCACTCCAAGAGCCTGTACTAGTCCTGGTTCTTTTCTTCTCTCCACCTCTCAGGCCTCCTCCATGTAGGAAGCCTCAGGGGAACATCTTCCCTCACTTCAGCCACTGCCCACCTCCAGGCCTCGGCCTAGCCTGGGGGACAGGCTGAACAGGACGCAGCCCTAATCCATGGCTGGTCCAGGCGAGAGAGAGTGCACATGGCAGCTCCCACTCATATATGTACACTCTCCCAGCAGGCACCACTGGTTGAGACAAGCCCAGTGGTTGGCTGCTGTACTGTACACATATTACAGTGTCTCCTATTGGCTGTCCACCAATATGACAGAGTCTCACTCTGCCCAGGGGGGTACAGACAAGGTTAGACACCTGGGAGTAACCATGTAATTGCTACTACAAATCCAGCCAGGCTGTCTACAGCCCTGGCTTTTGCTAAATGCATGGTAGTCACATCACAAAGGGTGATGGACGCTATACTTCCATAAAGTCAAAATGTATTTATAGGTAAAGCCTAGTTCACTAAGTCGGCTTCTGGCGCCTGCAATGTTTCGGATGCTCCCATAATGAGATCTCCCTGCCATCATTTCTGGCTCTGTTTTTGTCCACCTTGGAGTGTTCTTGCCCACATTTGTGTGTTCCAGATCCTCCTGTTATATTCATCATAATATAAAATGAATACAAAATCCAGCAGAGAGGCTGGAGACCCATCAAAATGGTCACAGCAAATGTGCAGATCAAGGCCACTTTAAGATATTGGTAGGCACAGGCAAACCTTGATGAGAGGGCCCCATCCATGTAATTCTCTTTGTTATTTGCATACAGCACAACATAAAGATTGAGGTTGTCAAGATAATGTAATGTACAGCCCAATGTACAGGGTAAGGTAATGTACAGCATAAAGAGTATATTGTACAGCTCAGCATACAGAAAATGGTCCAGACAGAGTACACAAGGTAACATAAAGCACAACACTCAGAATAGGGTGGTCAAGAGTATACAGTGTAATGGACAGCGAGACATAACAGAATATTGAGTGCTTTCCCCCGATAAATGTGGCTCTGCTGTATTTGACAGGACCACTGCAAGGGAATTTTCAGCCTCCAAATCCCAGCAGCAGAGGCCAGTGTAGCGATCTGCATGGCGTGGAGGCAGATTAGGCATTATGGGCCCAACAGACCCCTCTCAATAACAAGAACCTGCCACAGATTCTTCCAAGCCCTCCTAGTTAGCTCTGAGGGCTACAGAACCACATCCATCTATGTTATGGACAATAGAAGAAGGCCGGGGTTCTACACACACACACACACACACACACACACAGAGTGCGCAAATATAAATAAACTTAAAGTTTAACACAAGTGATGAGCTTGAGGAATTTTAATAGACCTAAAATTTGTGGTATTGTAGTTTTTTACTTACTTAAAGGACAAATAAACTCCAAACCAAAAATGCCATATATTGCAGTTTACCAGTCCTTAGATGAAGTGTCTACATTAGGTTTTTTTCCAGGCTTTTATCCCTTTATTTTCACCCGGTAATACTACAAATAACACACTTCCTGTCCCTTTATGTCTACACTCATTTCTCCATTGTATCTATGGGAGCAGCCACGGTTGTCACAAAGGCTAGACTCTAAACTTGTCTGCCTTTATTTAACTCCATTACATGGTGGATTGATGGGACTGGTATTTTATAAAATAAAAATAAGGTTCTTTGTGCTTTCTTTTTAGCTCACAAGAAGTGACAATACACAGTGTTTCTGGCAAGATCAGTAGGTATTTTCTGTACTTGCTAAATATGTAGCAAAGAAAAGCTAATGCAGCTACCAAATCTAAAAGTGGAAAGCTGCAATGCATTACATTTGGTTTTATATTTAGATATGCGTTAAATGCTGCATGTCCCCCTGCCATACTTCAGACTCATAGCAGTGCCCACCAAGCTATGAAGTCCTCCCATGCTTCCTCTGGCTCTTGCAAACATGACACAGAGCCTAGTGTGGGTATGGGAGGACTTCTCTTCCCTGTATGCTGAAGGTGCCGCTCTGATTGTGAGTCCAAAGTTTTTGAAAGGACACGGGGCAATATAATTATGAGAGGGTCCCTACTGGGACCACACCAAATTACCAATGAATAAACATTTGCTGTCTTTAAACCTACCTTGGCTTAAGAGAACCTCATTGAGCAGTGAGTGGGGGTCTGTGGTGGGGGAGTGCTTACTGAGCTACGCTATAGATGGAGTGGTGGGCCAGGGGCAGCTGCACCTTTTGCCTTTATTATTAAGTGCAGACCCAAGAACTCAGCATAGACATCTTGTCAACAGAGTTACCAAGAGATAGAAGTAACTGTCAGGTTGTTCAATACTTCAGCATCCTCCAACAATAAAATATCACTTTTGGATGGACTAACTTTAAAAACCTATGGAGGATATTCAACGATACTTTTTACTCTTGACTACCTGGAATTTGGCAAGTATATGACTTTTTTTGACTTACGTAAATTGCAGGCCATAGTGGTATGGAGTAAAACTATGGTTTCTGGCAGAAAGCGGATAGCGGAATCTGCTCTCCATTCAAATTGACCCCTCAGTGCTTTGCTCCTTACGCTGTGTATTGAGTAATACTTAATATCTTTCTAAGTGCTTCCTGCCATGTGTAGAAGTGAGGAGAGTTTAAAACTCAGATACAATCTTGAACCAATGGTAAACACAATGAATAAAGTGGACCCATACTTTGTGCTTTCAGGAGGAGATTTGAGCATCCAATACTTATCTTCTCCGCTGTCCTGTCAGCTGCCAGGCCACTGTACATACCCCGTTCTTCCAGATATGGGAGGAAAACATGGCAACCCTTCTGCCTTCTCCATTTTAGTGGCTAGTCAGCAAGTTTTTTTCCTGTTAGCAATTAACTAGGAATCCTTTGCTGTCTAGCAATGGATCAGGGTGGTGGGGAAGTGCATGAGAGGTAAGTAGAGGAAGTCTCTCCTGTGAAGTTTATACCTGTAAAATGAAACCTGTTGCTTTTGGACGAAGTCCATTTAAGTAAAATGTAAAGGACGCACCTGGAACCTCACAAATGTGGATCTGAGAGACAATCCCTGTGTCATTCTCCTTGTGTGCCGGCCACTGATAGACGTAGAGTGAGGTGTGGGATGACCCAGCGTCAAACACTAAGCCGTACTGTAACAAAGAAGAACACCGCTTAGTCTACCAGAAAACCATACAAACTGGACAGTTATGCAGCACTGACTATAACATAGAAAAGTTCGAAATGTCACTGAGAGCAAAGGCATCTAAATCTTGTGGGAACTGTCTAATGCCCTGGTTCTCAACTGGTGGGTCGTGACCCAAAAGTGGGTCATGGCCATGTGTTCAGTGGGTCACGACATGCCTTCCACTTTTTTATGCAAGAGGTTCTTCAGCCTCCCCCTAGTGCAGCAATGTCAGTTATCACGCCGAGCAGCCATTCAAAATATGCTGCCTGGCTCCGAGTGTCAGCTTGAGGTGGAATGGGCTAGGGCTATGGCCGTGAGGGAGCTCCATCCATACGTGCATTTCTTACAGCTCCCGCATGTGTCTTATAGAGGTGCCTGGACGAGAGAGACATCACATTCTGACTCTCAGTACCTTCACAGGGCGTGCAAGAGAGTTGTACAAGCAATGCACATATGGATAAAGCTCCGTCACAGCACAGGAGCCCACACTGGATCCCAGGCTGAGGATTCACTCCAGTTTTCGTAAGGTAAGATTTTCTTCGTAAGATTTGTTAAAAAAAATGTTTTGGATTGTGTATGTGTAAGAATGTCCGAGTGTGTGAGATTGTGTCTGTGGTTGTGTGTGTCTGTCAGTGTTTTTAGGGCCCGTTCACACTGGTATTGTGTGTTAATCACTCCTACCGTGCATTCTGGTGTGGGAGGTGTGTTACGTTGCCATTCATTTGAATTGTACCTCCCACAGTTTGTACGCCTGCACCGGAATGTGTGGTACCCTAATGCTGTCCATTGCAGTGCGATTTGGGTCACGACTTAATGACCAAGGACAAATATGGGTCCGGAGGTTACACAGGTTGAGAACCACTGGTCTAATGTCTGCGACTAGCCTTAACGTGACCATAACATGTAACCTTCACCTTAACGCTAACCATACACATTGCAATTTAATTGAGCAACTCAACTTTCAACATAATGTTTTGCCGAAAGGCTTTTGAAGACCTAAAATGGGATCAAAATTGACCCATTTCAATGTGGTGGTGGAAAAATTAGCTGTTTATAAAATTTTAGCTTAATTTTTCAATGAACTCTATTAAAACTGTCAATTTATTGCCCAGTTTTGACATCACAATGGACTGAATTCTGGTGGTCCATAGAACTTGTGGGTGGTGGATTGCTTCGTTTTTGGCAATTACTTATTGGTCACTACAGATGGATAGAAAGTAGTTCAAGTCAAGTTTACCGAACTTTGACACATGTATGACTAGTTTAATATTTAAACTTAAAAGAGAATTATGGGGTAAGTGTTTTCCCCATAGTTCTCTTTAGGGTCACGGGAGGACATATACTAACCTCCTCCCGTGACCCAAAGCTCAGTATATTGCGAGCTATTGCCAAAGCCCCTAACAGTAAAGTGTCTTATTTATTTATTTATTTCTATTAAAAGGAAAATTAAAAAATAGTTTTAAAAAATAGTAAAAAAAAACATTTAAAAAGTCATAAAGCTGCCCAACCACCAATTATTTAAAAAAAAAAAAAGTGGGAAAAAGTAATTTTCAGTTTTCTGCCCCACAAATTCTGCTGCAGGAGGTGCATTGCAGTGCAATTAATTTCAATGGCACCCCAAACGCGCATTGCTGTACGTTCTAGTGCGGTGTGATTGCAAAAAATTGTGCATGCAGTTTAATTCTGAAGTAAACTTTATGTTTGTAACACTGCATTTGTGTATTTTATTTTAAGTTAAGGATGGTATTTAATCATGTTTTATCCGATTAATCGATTACTAAAAAAAAACAAATTGGACAACTAATCGATTATGAAAATAATCATTATTTGCAGACTTGGTTAAAACATTTGTCAGCTTTTTTTGCCATCTGCCAATTGCGCAAATTTTCCTACGGCGAGAGGAAATCTCTCAGAATAGAGAGTTGAATCCCTGGTAGTTATCAGAACTAGTGTTCCCATTGAAAGATTTCCTATCTATTCTTCTGGTGACATCCCATAATTTGAGATTTTCTTTCACTCTCAGTGATAACATTCACCAGGACAAATAGAGATGGAGAATCTTCCTAATGGGGACACACAACAATAAAAACCCAATAGGTATTCTAATCCCTCTCTATTTTATCCCAAACTAACTTTAACCAAACCCTTTCAAGTGAGCCCTTAAAGTGGACGTGTACTGTAACAACACTGGACAAATTAACCGGATCAGTTTACTGGAGCATAAGGAGTGTGTCCTTACTGTTTATACACACCTCCGTCAGCACACGTAAAAAATATACCCGAAATATGTCACCCTTCCACTGCCTCCCCACAATTGGAGTCTCAGTCACCACTAGTCAGAGCTTTGCCTAACAAATTGCAACACACAAACCTGTCACTTCATCTAGTATGCCCAAATACATATTCACTTTACCATTTATCCTCTCCTCTACTTCCTAAAACCTTGAAGTACAAATCTTTTTTTTGTTTTTCTGTATGGAGTATGGAATGTTTACAACCTCTGCCAGGTTTAAACTGCTGTTTCTGTAGCTATTAATGGGATTTTCTTTTACTTCCTGTGTGGTCACCAGGATAGATATAAGGTAAAATCTCCCCTTGCCCATGCTAACAAGAAAAAATGTTTTTGCTAGAGTTGGGCATTAACCCCAAAAAATTGGCTTCCCAACACTAACCTAACACTTAAACAATTTGTTAACGAGCAATTGTTAATTTTTTGCACACACATGTAAAAATCTGAATTTGTTGCTGAAAATTGTTTAACATTGCCCAATTATATATTTTCTAAAAGCAAAGGCCCCTGTAGAAGAAAAACATGCTAGTTGCAATGTTTCATGTTGCACAATATTTGTTCATATGTTTACGACAGTCTGAAACCGGAAGTGCCGAAATCCTCTTCACTTCCAGGTTCAGTAATTGGAGGGGAGATCAGCCACTGGAAGTGCGTGAGTGTAGCCAAGGACACCCACCGTATCAGTCCCTGGCCTGCACATGAGAAAGCGGATACTGGTTTAACTAATCACTAACACTATTTAACCCCATTTTCATCCTATGCTGAGAGCTGCTGCAGTAAAATATATCAGTACTTTCACAGAATGATACCAGAGCTGATCTACTGATTCAGTGTTTGTATGTCACAATATTACATGATAGAGAGGCTTTGAGTGTGTTTCCACTTCCTCTGCAGTCCCCAGCTTTGAGACCCTCCTAAATCTATGCCAGTGGTCCTCTTAACACCGTAAATTATAGGCTTTTAGTATCCATGGGAAAGCACAGGTGTCCAGCCAATCTAAAACATTTTTACTGTCCCATATTATGACCTATTGTTGATGTAAGACCGTTACCCTCGTGGATATCTTCCCCGCAGTACACTTTCATATGCTACCTCCAACACCATCAATTTGATACTTTCACTTCCTACCACAGTCAGCTATTACACACTGTCTGGTGTATGGCGATGACAAAAAAAGAACCTGAGCTTCAAAGGAACAATTAAGGATTTCGGGAGCTGTGGGAGATTGGTGAATTGCGGAGTAGCTTTGAACAGGTTAAACCAGTGAGATTTTGCATTCTGCCCTTTAGTATCCCCAACACCATTTCTTTTGATTGACAAATCGAGACATCTATGCATGGTGCATAGTACTGGAACTTGATGTATCACTCGCAGGAAACGCTTGAGAGGAAATGCTTTGAATGATAAAAGAAGTGTGATTTCCAGTGAACAATTGTATACTGATCCCAGAAAGCATTTTCATTGCACTCTAGTAATTGGAATATTTTACTGGTTAAAGTGAATCTTCCAGAGTTAATTCCACCAGAAATTAAGTCTGGACGATTTTTGGTAGGATTCAACAAAACAGGAAACTTGTATTTCATACTTAACGTAATTTTCCTTTCCTGTCCAGCTCCATGGCAGCACACGAATGGGTTAATACCTCCCTCCTCCCCTAATCAGGATCGTAACTCATAAAAGCTGAAAGAGTCCCCTGGCTTGCCGTTCAGTAACTCGACTACTATACGGGTGGGCCTTGTGCTGCCATGGAGCTGGACAGGAAAGGAAAATTACGGTAAGTATGAAATCCAATTTTCCTGTTTTCCTGTCAGCTCCATGGCAGCACACGAATGGGAATTAACTAGCCAAAAACAGGGGTGGGTATGCTTGAACATTTTTAAATCACAACTCATGGTAGAAGAAATAACCCTACGGCCGAATTCAACTTTAGTTAAGGCAGCTGGATCTACACAGTAGTGTGTCATGAACGTGTGCGGAGAAGACCATGTTGCCGCTTTACACACAGTCTCTAAGGAAACACGATTGGGTGCAGCCCATGATGTGGCCAGACTCCTAGTGGAAATGAGCAGACACCCCACTTGGGACAGTTATGTGCTCGGCTTCATATGCTAACGACATCGCCTTCCCTATCAAGGATGCTATGAGCCTACTGGATGCTGTAGCATCCTTCCTGGCACCTGCTGTAACGATAGAGATGACCCGTAGACCTGAGCTCTTCCGTGGCCAAAATATACGCCTTTAGCATATTACCTACGTCCAAGCGGCTAATCTGGCCCCCATCATCCGACTTGAAGGTTGGTAATACAATTTCTTGGTGTATGTGGAAGTCAGTCACAACCTTGGGAATGAACCTCAGCATGGGAACTAGAATCACTCCATCTGCCAGGAAAGTGAAGAAGTGTTTTTTAAACTCAAGAGCGGCAAACTCCAAAACCCGTCTGGTGGAGGTGATAGGAACTAGAAAGGCAGCGTTTAATGCGAGGACGAGTAGTACTGGGCTTCCTAGGATGAAGAAGAGTATTGACTACCCTATCTGAGCAACCCAATGTGAGAAGTCTCCGCCCCAATATCCATGCTGCTAGGCAAAGTTTCACAGGTGCTGGGTGAAGGATCGGACCGTGAAAGAAGATCGGTCGATGGCGGTAAGAATAGTGGAGGCTGGATACCAATCAGGC